TTATTATATATAATGGAACGTGAATCGGGATTTGACAGAAAAACTGGATTTGATAAAATTAAAGAAGAATCGTCAGAAGATTTAAGAAAAGAAATGAATGAACTGAAAGAGAAGAAACGCGATCTTGCGGATAGGATTAATAATGAAGGTGTTACTAAAGATAACGTCGAAGAATTAACGGAAAGAATGAAAGAACTGATAAAGAAAGATCGTGATCTTTTAGAAAGGATAAGGAAATTAGAAAATAAATTATATTTGGATAAATTAATAGTTTCCGGGGTACTCGGGTTATGCTCGTTAGTAAAAAAATATGCAGCTAATGAAGGATGGCTGAGCTTAGACCGTTGATTTTAATAATTGTTCGCGTATTGTGAAGTTATCGGAGGCAGGCCCGTTTCGATTCAAAATAGCTTGGAATCATGATTTTGTCTAGGATGTTTTTAAAAATATCAAGGTCTCTTTTAAGTTCAGCTATGTCATCTTTGATAATATCGTAATATTTTTTTTCTTCGCTATCTCTTTCAAAAATGAAATCCATTTCATAAGCTGGAAGTGTATCTATATATTTCAATGAATAGCAAACTCTTTGGTATATTTCTAACAAACTTTCTTTATGTATTTCTAAGTTATTCTTAATAATCTCTATTTTAGTTTTTAAATCATCTAACTCTTCTTTCATTATATTAATATATTTTTTCAAAAAAAAGAAAAGCCAGTTAGGATTCTCTTAATATTGCGTGACCGAAGTCATCAGTCTTATACATAAGACATTGTGACGTGTTTCTATTTTTAGTCTGTTTATAATTCAAATTCATCAGTCTTATACATAAGACTCGGTCTTTTTATAGTCCAAATTCATCTCTTTGCATATTAAACGCCACTCGGCGTCGTTCTTTTTTAAAGTCTTTGGATTTTGTAAGTGTATGAATTTCAATATATCAACCTCACCCAGAAGTTCAAATATTTTGAAAATGTAATAAGGATAATAAATCATATTTTTATGAATCAACTCGTCGATTTGTTTTCTGGCGTCAATAACCCTTATAAAGATATATTGTGCTCTAATTATATTTTCTTCAGAAACCTTTGGTATTTCCTTACC